GGGCTCGTTGTCTTGTCAGTGTAAATTGGAAATGCTGGCTTTGATTGACGGACGCTTCACCGGCTGCTAGTGGAGCGGGAGGGTGGGGGCCCAAGGCAGAACGGGACGAGCGAGTCCCGTAAAACTATCGGTACGACGGTTAGGAATATTAGGGCTATGGCACTCTGTCTGCAAATTGATCCCATCTTTATTATTGTTACTATTCAGATCACTGTACCAACAACATTGGCTCTGATACCACTGCTGTTCTTCTAATAGTGCAAGTACGGACGCCGCAAGTGCTACAAAGGTACCCTAAACAGTATTCCTATGAAGTGCCTACATATTTCGTTTGCAATGCCTTCACCTAAGCACACAGTCCTCCGTGCCTGTTAGTTTATTTGCGTTCGCATACACCGAAGTATTTTCACTCCTGAATAAAACAACAAGTCGCCCAGCATCGTCCATATCATTTTTTGCTTTGACTGTGCACTGTTCCATTTGTCCATTGTAGACGACTTTGTGTTCACCGCATACGACAGTTGGACCAGCCCTTTTGATGAGGTCCACCGGGTGCTCCGACAAACGCGATAACTTGCGCGTGGTAGTGGACTTGCGCTGCGTCTACCGCACCCTCTTTTCCCTCTTCCACTTGAGCCCGGTGTCAAGAAAAAGTCGAGGAGAGTGGAGGCGGGTTTGGGCCGTGGCTACTGGTACAGTGTGAGCTTGCACCCACGCGCATCACCCCGCCACCCCTTCCCCCCGCAAGTTTGGTATTTTTTTATGGGAACACAACCCAAATAACTCCTGCCGTGCCCGCGCGTGGGTCCATCACATCTACCACGCGATGCGGTAAGGGGTCATCTACCCACTGACATCCCGTCTCCGGCCTTGTCGACTCTGTTTAGACACCCGGTGCAGGTTATTGAGGGAAGAGGATATGGTAGCTGAAGCGCAAGTTTACTATCACTTAGCGGGAACTGGTGTGCGAGTCACTGCGTTTGCTATCAGGCTGCCGAAGCCTCTGGTGTACATGGTTTTATACGAAGCTCAAACTTTCGATGTACGGCATCGGGTTCTCCATGGCTGCTTCTAGCCATTGCAATAATACTGTCTATCCGCTTCGTCACAACGGCATGTAGGAGCCTGCCCCCCAGCGCTGCCTGCTCTGTCAACGTGGCCAGTGAAT